GTACCATTCCATTAAATCAGCAAGCATTTTAAGGGGACACAGCAACCTCTTGAGAAGAGGAGGTAACTGTAATTTAAGCGGCCTCGTGCACTTAAGAGTCACCATTTTAGGATGTATCTGGGGATATTTGAGTCAATTACTAGCACATAAATTTAAAAGGTGTCTTTCCTGCTTCCATGTACGTTAATCTTTTGTATAAACCTTATAAAGCAAAGAACCATTTGTGAAACTTAAGAAGAATAATTACTGGCAATAGCAGAACCAGTAATGTCTATCAGGCCTCATGGTTTTTGCTGATTTTAATTAACGTGGAAAGGTTCCTAGCCTGAGTATTTCGTGTTTGTAATCAGCGTTAACCTTGGGCAATGAAAGAACGTTATTATTAGCCTTTTTGATTAGTTGTTTATTAGAGGCTGATGGGCGCAGATAAATATCGCAAAGGAATCGACAACAGCATGAGATCTCGCTCCTCAGGGACAAATTAGGAGGTTGCTGCGACGTTTCACCTTATTGTACACTGTAATACATATTAATCAATTTTACCGATATTTGATTTATTACACTGCCTGGAAGCAAAGAAGAAATTTACAGATTACACAACACTTATTGATAGAATTCTATTAGCTCATTGAACTAAACGTCTGTTATTAGGCGGCAAACCCACGAACTTCTAAAATATCATTCGCAGTTTCGTCTACCTCCATTTACCTCAGCTGATGTTCTGGGGACCTAGTATGTGTTATTACCAATACTCGACCTTGAAGGGGGCAGCGTCTATTGGCGATCTTCCAATATCTGCAATGGTTTAAAGCTGTTGTTTCACTTACAAATGTCACTTAACACTTAGTACTGACGTAATGAAGCAATTTGTTGCTTAATATTCTGAGTAAAAGACAAAAGTAATAAAGTTAAATGTATTGGTATTCTCAGACATCTCAAAAATTTAAAGAAGAAAACAAAGAAATGTTTAATATTTTAATATGACACATTTATTTTACGCATTGTAATCACTGATCCACAAACAACAAAGACACTGATAAATTGTGTAACACATAAATAATTGTACTGTATGTGAAGTTCCTAACACAGGGAACAATGAGTAGACCGATATTTGTTTCCTTAAATATCTCAAAACTTTGTGGACAACCTTCTTCTTTAAAAACTCTGTTATTAGACGACGAAGTCTCTACATTAAAGAATAAAGATTTTATTAATAAAATTAAACTGCTAAATAAAACTGGAAATTTGTCCTCAATAGATACTGGGAATGACTCGTACTTCAAGTGCCTGAGCACAACGGGTCCCAATTTTTTTTTCGTTGGCTTGATTTATAGATATTCGGTACGACTCCTTGGACGAGGGATCGGTCTGTCGCAAGGCCTCTACCTGGGATTCGAACCCACGGTCCCAGCGGCACAAGGCCACAACACAACACAGAACATTACGGACACACATCCATGGCTTGAGTGGGATTCGAGCCCACGGTCTCAGCGACCAAGCGACACAAGGCCCACGCCTCAGACCGCGAGGCCACTGCGGACCCCCGTACTACATATAGTACACAAAATGTACAAATGTTCTCTAAACGTCATATCCGATTTTTGTGATAGGAATACAATGCGTCACATTGGTCATTGCTCTAAAATCCAAAGATGCGAAAAAAACATTATAAGACTCGTGCAAAGACCAGATAATATTTCCGGAGGAAGAAAAAGCGTCTTTTTTACAAGCAAGAAATTCTGTTACAGTTAAAATATAAACTAAACAGTACAATAAATTCTTATCATGCTACCAGCCGTGTAAGGTAGTTTAATGAAGAAAATACCAGCCTTTCGAGAAGCATCTACATCCTTGTCCTCAAGGTACTGTCAGTACCCTGAGGACGAGGATCGCAATACACAGCACGTAGGCCGAGAAGAATTTATTATATTTAGTCGCCGTGAAAGCTTCATATCATACAAACTAAACAGTACTCAGAATTTGAGACTAGGTGAATCGTCCTATTGTGATTGCTTGATACAGCAATTCATAAAATGACTTTACAAGATGAAGGTTCTTATGGCACCTTGACGTATTTGTTGCCACTGATAAAAAATATTTTCACAAAGGTGCGTTGTGTCAAGAAGTAGTAATTCTTGATGGTTAGTTGTGAGAGTTTCACATATTCGTCTCGGATTCTTATCTAAAAATGAGGAAGATACTGCTGAGCTTCATATTTAGTTTTAACGGATAGTCTATATCGCAGCCAAATTCTATTAAGAATCACAGTGATATTATAGTAAAGTAACTGACATATCTTCTCATCTGCTCTAAGTGCAGGAGGATTTTGGTTCTGTTCATGCTGCGAAAGAGTTTTAGTAGTGAAAATGCTTATAAAATTACCGTCAAGTTCATACTTATAAATTAAATTAAATCATAACATTAGGAAAATGCTTATAAAATTACCGTCAAGTTCATTGAGACTGCTTAGGAACTGAGGATTAATCTCTATGAATTCATATTCCTTTTCCTGGAAACAAATATTTCTATGCTGCTAATTTCACAATAGATTTTCCACAAAGTCGTTTTGACGACTATCGAAAATTTATAAAAAAGAAAAAAGGGGGCTTAAAATAGTAGCATTTGAACACTTAAATAGGTATTGGGTATGTTGAACTTGTCAAATATATCTGATAAATGTGACACAACAAGCCAATTCTTATAAAAATGTGTATATAAAATTCAGTACTTTGTTTTTCAGCTCAGTTAGTCCTTTGAGAACTTAATTACTTGATAATCACTTTACCTTCTAATTCAACAGAAGTTATTTGTGGTCTGCCTGTATTTCCTCGTGAAATATTATATATAGACGAGATTTGAAAAGATTCTTAACACCTACGGCCTTTTATAGCAGAGTATGTTTCCTTGATTGAGATTTTCGTGATTATAAAGACACGATATATGTTATGGTATGTACAAAGTTTGAGTGACGAGCAACTTGACTTACTTTGGCATGAAAGCCTGTCTTACAACTTTTAAAATCTGCAATTTCCACAGGCACAGATATGGTCCGAACTGATATATTCATAGCCTTGAACGTATTGCTTCCTGCATTCCGTTATATGAGCGATCGACGGAACATGAAATATTAAAAAATATTTTCTTCATTTCACAATCGCTGAGGTCTGTTGATGTCTCAATTTGAGGTGAAAATATTCTACTACATTTAAATGTGATTATCAATTGTTAATTGACATCTTCTCACATTAATTCAATTTGTCGCTTAATAATAATAATAATAACAGAAAGAAATTTGCTAGATTTTATCATGCT